AGCTAATATTTAAAAAAGTCAATAGTTTGGGATAATTCAAAGTTCAGGAAGAGAAAATTATAAAAAATAGAAACAAATCCGTTGATTGACTCGAATGTAGAGCAGTAAGAATATTCTTTCGATATTGTTCCTTTTGTCAAGCTAGAGGGCAAATGACTTTTTTTAATTTTTATTTTCCAAACACTCTGAACAATAAACCAGGAACGAGGAGAATAATGAATGAAGCGTTGCGGAAAGATGGATAAAAGTGGCGGACGATTTTTTTTTTATCTACGATAAAAATACAGATCGAAGATAATGCCGATAAAAATACACATCGGAGGGAATATCTCAGGAATTTTTCGTGATTCGATTGTGAACAATTGACACGAATAATTCAAATGTAAATATTATTCTTGACGTAAGATTTCGAAATGGAGCGACAAAAAATTGCGAGAAAATCGTAACGCGTGTTGGTAACTTAAGCCAAATCAGCAGTACTCATAACTTGAGATCATTCAAATGTCCACGGAATTGTTTTTACTGACGTCACGTACTGTAAAATAATAAAATGACACTCCCAAGGTGACTCAACTCCCTCGAACAATTACAAACGTTGAGACCAATCTCATTAAAAAATACATCAACACCTTCGTATCAAATTTAACTTCCGAGAAATTAAATGAATCATTGAGAAGAAGAGATTCATTCATCGAGTTTCAAGAATATATGAATAAGCCGGTTAATCAGTGCATGTAAAAAATTTAAAGGACTAAGTCGCGGGAATTCAATGGCACTTGAGCGGAAAGTAAATAATGGATGATTTTATTTATTAATTTTTATTGATTAGTCTCATTGAGAAATGCATCGACACTTTAATATCAGGTGTATCTACCCAGAAATTTCACGAATCACTATAAGAGGTTCTGAGAAATTCAGTCATCGAGTTGCAAGAAATATCTGAATTGATCGGTGGAATTAAAAATAGAGTACTCTGAGGATTAAATCGGAGTGATTGAATTAAATAGCCTTTATAAAAAATGAATAAGAAATTTAATTTGTTGATGACTCCGAACAATAAAATCTGTTCATTTCTCTGTTCTTTGAGAATTTTTGTAAATCAAATTTCCCGGAATATTCTGTAAACAGAATTTTTCAAATTTCCTACGATTCTCATAAATCCCGTCAAATCATTAAAAATGAAGACTTTTTCAAAATAATTCCTCGATAAAAATTTCAGGAAGTGGATTTTTTTCTGACGAAATCCCTTTTGCCCGGGGGATGATTAACCAAAAAATCTCCGAACGATCAGTTATTAAACTAAAAATAAACGGATCTTTCAACCCTATTTGAGAATCATCGCAACATCCCTCGCTGGGCTGTCCACCCCAATGATCCCCCGCACCGTCTGAGTGCTTCTCGTAATTAGATTATTCAAGTGAAGACCCCAACCCCTTCCTCTAAGAAATCCTAAACTCTGATAGAACCCCCGCCCACCCACGCCCCAGCAATCAGCCCCAAGACCGAATCAAAACCCAACGAAAAAAATAATAAAGAAAGAGAAAAAAACGGGAGAAACTAAAAAAAAGAGAGCCATCCCTATTAGTCCCACCTATTGATTTTTCGAGCTATTGTTTTGGAATGTGCGAGGCCTCCCCCAGGGGGATAAAAATAAAATATACTTTGTATTCTCGGAATATGGAAATAACTTCTGACCTGTCAATTCATCATGAATCACTTCTATTTTTGTGGAGCAGTCGTCCGAGTTCACCCCCTCCAATTAACAATTTGAGGTTAGTTAACCCCCAAATTGCCGGAAAAATATCGCCAAGTGTCCGGTGATTTTGAGGATCTTTTGGGGGTTAGGGGTTGCATCCGATTTTCCGTAGCAATGGCATTTTGTATTCTTGTTTCATCGACAGAAATGGAAGTTAGAGTGACGATGCGGCGCACGCCCATCTGTCCGGGTACAACGGGAAAATCAATAGTATTTTAGGATTTGTCGGGATTTTTTGGGGTTTTTTGGGGTTGTTGGGGGATACTGGGGACTTACCGGGTTAGATCATCCTCGGTTTGTATTTTGTTGTTGTTTTTGATGAGTGTTTTTAACCAATTTGTCACTTTTCAAAACGCACCAACCTCACGTCCGCACACTACACTTACGACTCGATCATACGGTCCGATTCCAAGGTTCCGCTGTTTCACCAATCAGGGCCGTAACTATTCATATTTTCGGCATATGCATAAATGGCTGATTTCCTCCTATTTTTACCTTCGATTCAGTACACTATTGATATTTTTAATATAATAATAAATTAATAGTATATTTCCATTTTTTCCGTCGGAAAAATTCAAATTTAGTGAAAATTGTCAAACCGATTTTTAAAAAATAATTATGATATACTATAAATATAAAATTAATTGAAAATAAATTGTAATAAGTTAGATTTATGAGCATTGATTTATAGTTTATTATTATAAATCATATCTCCATTTTTTTAAAAGGAAAAAATGTAAAAATCGAGATGTCACGAAATGTGTGAAGATGATTATTTTTTAATAATTATCAGATTAATATTTATGGATGTAGGTGAAATTCAAAGAATTAACGAAATTAATTAATTCATTAGAATAATTGTTGAGTTCAATTTTATTGACAGAA